TTTTAGAAAATCAAAAAACTAATTGCACGTTCTCATAGTCACTTTATTAGGGCTATCTGATGGTATTTTTAGATTTTCAAATTAGCTGCTAATTTGTGAGATACAGAGGCCAACTTATTTTTTTTAAATACGGACCTGCATTTTTTATTTCAGATTTTGAAAGAACTCGGTCTCCTGAGTACAATGATATGCCACACTTAATATTTTTTTTGGACGTTTGAACACAATTTAATTAAACTAATTTCAAGTCCGGCTCTGTTTTTTTTTAATATTTATGCCCACTTGCGCCGTTTGTATAAACTTTGTTTAAAGGCTAAACAGTGATTAACTATAATAAAATATGTATAGTTAATCACTGTTTAGCCTTTAAACAAAGTTTATACAAACGGTGCAAGTGGGCATTAATCTATTCATCGTTACAATATTGGTAAGCTTTCAAACTTAACGTGGGGTAAAACATTGAATACGGATAATCAAATGCAATCAAATAATAAAAAATAACATAAAATTATTGGGCATTACTTGACGAAATTTTTAAAAGTAACAATACATTTCAACATTTACAATAAAGTGTAAAGAGTACAGAATGCATTCGGAAGTATAAGGAGAAGATATGTTCAAAGAGATATAAATAAGATTGAACGAAAAATACATTTGTGCATTAGGGACGGTGGTAACCTTTTCGAACATATAGAGCAGCGGTCGCCAACCTGTCGATCGCGAGCTACCGGTAGCTCGCGGATGCAATTCTGGTAGCTCTCACAATTTTAAAAACACAAACTGCAAAAATCAGAGAAGCTTCCGAAAATTCCACAAAAAAATGTAATTGTCATAATATTAAACATAAACAGCGGCAACGTTGCGGTGAGCGATGCCGCTGACGCCATCAAGCTAGAAGCGGCTAGAACCGACCGGCCGGACCAGCGCGTTAGTGTTCGAGAGAGAACGGTCTGGATTGCTTTGAACGGTATAAATACGCACGGTGCGGCGACATTGCGCTTAGTTTAAAACTGAACCTGAACGCATAACCAACGTCCAGCGGTTGGGTTAGTAGAGAACAACAAAAAAGAATATTATGGCAAGCAGTAGTAAGAAGGTAAAGACATACCACTTTCATTCGGAATGGGAAGAACAGTACTTTTTTACAGAAGTTAAAGGTAAAAATGTGTGTTTGTTATGTAATACTTCGGTCTCCGTTGCTAAAAAAGGAAATATTGAGAGACATCATACAACTGTACATTCTAATTTTGAAAAATCATTCCCACTACATTCTGTCGCCAGAAAGGAGAAACTGAAACAGTTAAAAAATCAGTTAATCGGACAACAATCAATATTTTTAAGAACAGTCGACAAAAATAAGGCTGCAACTGAAGCATCGTACCGTGTGTCCCAGATAATTGCACAAAAAAAGAAACCTTATGAAGACGGGGAAATGATAAAACAGGCGTTTTTAGAAGCTGCTGATTCGTTATTTGCCAACTTTAGAAATAAAGACGAGATACTTTCAGCTATAAAATCTATGCAACTTTCTGCTAATACAGTGATGAGACGTGTAGAAGTAATGAGCAATGATATTTTTTTACAGTTAAGAACTGACTTAGATAACTGTGTTTATTTTTCACTTCAACTGGATGAATCAACAGATGTGGTTGAGACTGCCCAGATGGCCGTGTTCGTCAGGATGGTTTTTAGTGATTTTACGATTAAAGAAGATCTTTTGAAGTTTATTCCACTGAAAGGATACACTACTGGACAGGAGTTGTTTTCTCATTTAAAAAATATTATTTCTTCCGAGAAAATTCCAATATCGAAAATGGTAGGCTTGACAACCGATGGCGCTCCAGCTATGGTGGGTTGTGATAAGGGTCTGGTGGCGTTATGTCGTAAAGATGAAACTTTTCCGCAATTTCTCTCTTACCACTGCATTATCCATCAGCAAGCATTATGTGGAAATTTTCTGAAACTAAACAACGTTATGAAACTGGTGGTAAAAATTGTGAACAAGATTAGAGCTCAAGCATTACAAAGAAGATTATTCAAAACTTTGGCCGATGAAGTCGACTGTCAATACGGGGACCTACTCCTTCACTCTGGAGTCCGATGGCTAAGTAGAGGACGAGTGCTGAAACGTTTTAATGATGTCCTATCTGGCATAGTTCAATTTTTCAAACAACGCGATGAACCGATTCCGGAACTAGAAAATTCAATCTGGCTTCGGGATTTTGGTTTTCTCGTGGACATTACAGAGAAATTAAACGAACTTAATTTGCAGCTTCAGGGGAGAGACAAAGAACTAGCGGAAATGATTTCTGATATAAAAGCATTTATCAGAAAGCTGGAGTTTTGGGAACAAAACCTAATTAACAGCGATGCCAAGCATTTTCCTATTCTTTCAGAAAAGATATCTCAAAATCCATTAGAACCCTATGACAGCAAATATCATGTAGAAATAGTTTCTACCTTGAAGAATAACTTCAAAAATCGTTTTAAGGACTTCGACGAAATGGCTTTAGTAGCGCAGTTTGTTGGTTCACCCTTTATGGAAATTGATATCCAACAGTTTGCAACTTGTGTTATGCAGAACTTTGGCGAAGACATCGCTGCAACAGAAATGGAAGTAATTGAGTTTCAAAATGATTTAGCCTTAAAATCGTTAGTCTCAAGTACCAAATGTATCTGGTCTATTGTAAGCAAAGACAAATATTCAGTTCTATGCCGTGTTGCCTTGAAAGTGAAAGCATTATTCAGTTCAACCTATTTGTGTGAATCTTCTTTTTCCAATATGAAGTTTATTAAGAACAAATATCGCAATCGACTTACAGATGAACATTTGGATAATTGTATTCGAATGGCTGTATCAAATTATACTGCAAACATTAAAAAAATTATCGATGAGTCTGAGTGTCAGCCTTCCCATTGAACGTGCTTTTTTATTTCTCAATGTTTATGTTTATGATAGTGCGTTACTTTTTTGTTGATATTAATAACAATTTTTAAATCTTACGTGACATGCCGTTGTGGCTGGATAAAAGTTTGTGTTTATTTTTCAAACACCTTCGTTTGGTAGGTAGGAATGTAGCTATGAACAAGTACGTACTAGTAATATTAGTTGTTTTGTTATTAGTTTATTATTAGTACCTATGACATGTATTATGTATTACCAGTTAAATAGTAAAATAAATACATATAATGATAAATTAACTCTGGATTATTTCATTTACGTTGCGTTACGTGGCTTCCGTGTGGGTAGCTCACTGTTTATTCCAAAATTAACATAGTAGCTCAACACATTGAAGAGGTTGGCGACCGCTGATATAGAGCATTACTAGTTTTAGAAACTAGTTTGTAGAAGTTGATTTATTTATAATAACTACGATTAATATTATGCATATTATTAGATCGTACACTGAGATTTCAAAATCACAATAAAAAAAGTTATAAATAATTTTTTTTGCTGACCTGGGTATTATTTATTTGAATCTTTCAATTGGCTCAATTCAATGTTAATTAGCGCTGATCCATATTGTTGCGATGAAATTTAATCAGATTAAATAATTTAAAAAACCAGAGTGAGATTTGAAATTATTTTAAATAATAATTAAAAAGTTCTGTTATTGTTAAGGTACCTAAAACAAAAAAAAAGTATCAAGTGTGGCATATCATTGTACCCAGGAGATCGAGTTCTTTCAAAAATTCAAATAAAAAATGCAGGTCCGTATTTAAAAAAAATAAGTTGGCCTCTGTATCTCACAAATTATCAGCTATTTTGAAAATCCAAAAATACTATCAGATAGCCGTAATAAAGTAGCCATGAGAATGTGCAATTAGTTTTTTGATTTTCAAAAAGTATCGCCAGGAAAAAATAAAATTGATTTTCAAAAAAAAATCGTTTTTTCCAAAAAACTCAGCAATCCTTGAAATTTTTAAAACTTTTTTGGTTAGGAATGAATGATGACGATGCTTTATGGATGGAAGAAAACGATGTTGACACTAAAGATGTTCCTGGTGTTCAAATTCAGAATGAAAATGAATTGCCTGATTTACCAGTAATAGCTAATATAAAAGAGTGTCCATGGACAGAAGAAGATTAAGTTCTGTATCTTCAATTAACATAATTAGTCGTTTAATGTTTCCGAACTAGTCGTTTTTTTTTTTGTTCTATATTTGACTTTATGTTGATTTTATTAAACACTATTTAATAAAAATAAGAAAAAGAATTGGCGCCGGCTCGTATAGCCGCCCATACTAAAATATGTTAATAAAAAGAGTTCTTTTAATTTCAAAGTAAAGGAATTTTTCCAATTTTTTTTATCTCAAAAACTGCGACTTTGATTTTGATGCTATTACAAATTTTGTTGCAAATATTACTCCTAATCTTAAATTGAAAACCGCGTTTCGCTAGCTACTGTAATTTTGGAGATTTTTAAAAATTTTAACCCCTCCCATACCCCCTTACCAACCCCCACCTCCACCAAAAACTAATGGCCAGATTCTGGGGTGCCACAGTATTTTTGTGCCAAATTTGGTTAAAATCGGTCTAGCGGTTTTTGAGTTATCGTGTTACAGACGGACAGACAGACAGATAGAACAGACAGACAGACACTATGAAAATATTTTGTATTTAGGTCATTTATAACCCAAATAACTCATTTTGACTGAAATTAATTTTTTTTTGTCGATCTTAATAGCCTACCATATCTATTGGTACGGTCGGCTAAAAATGAAAATAACTGTTTTCTTTTGATGATTTTTTAATACATGCATAAATTTAAAAAATGTGTGACGTCACATCAGGGGGGAGGGAATTATAAAAGTGTGACAACCTGTGACAAGGACGGGGGGAGGAGCTCAAAAGTCCTAAAATTCGTGTGACGTAATTTATGGATGGCAACTAAATTAAACGCACAAAATAAATAAATTGATCTTTGAATTTTTACCTTCTAAAATAGTACATATGTAATTATAAAAATATCGTGTGAACCTAATTTAATTGTACTTACAGGTTGTGCTGGTAATATCTCTCCAGAATCATCTTCTTTCATCTCAATATTTCGGTTATCTCTTTTAAGTTTCTCTAATTCCACTGCTATGTTACTAGCTACTTTAGCATTATTCTTTATTAGAGCGATATCTAATAACTGTATAGGACATTGCATAGTAAATGGTTTTGTGAAATTTCGGATAAATTTTATTAAAGTAAAAATAATAGAAACTCGTAATACGGAACATAATTCCGTAAATATAATTTGGTCTAATAAAAAAGGATACTGGTCGTCAGAGAATTTCCTGACGTTATCATTGCTATCTCGGAAAGCAAAAACGGTGTAATATTCTTTCCTTCTATTCCTCTCTCTTTAGCTTTATCTAAAGCCTTTTCAATTGCATTATCTATGACTTCATAATCAATAGCATATTCCTTAGGCACTGGAACGGCAAAAAGTATACCTGTAAAAGACACACTATTTTAATAAAGAGCAAATTTAAAATAGTATGTAAAAGAAAGGTAAAAAACTAGAGCTGTTAAACAACAGTCTTATTTCTAGTAAAAAGTCAGTCAGAAGTTGGCCTCCTTTGAACTCTAACGCCAGTGTGGCTTTTTTAGGTGCACACTTCGTCTAGGATGATACGTTATTAAAAAGTAAAATAGGAATTGAAAGTCATGTTGGTCCATATTCATCACTGCCCAGGATATTACCCTTCAGACTGCCCAAAATAGAGAATAACTTTCAGAGAGTATAACAAATAGAGAATAAGACATCACTTTATTTATTGACTATGTAGTCCGCCTCTTGAGTTAGAGACGTTCGATTTAAGTCGATTCTTTAGAAAATCGATCTTTTGACATGCTATTCCCGATTTTTTTTTTTTGAATCGATTAATCCCTTTGATCCAAAACCGATTTTTTATAGAATCGATTCTTTTAGATCGAGATCGAATCGTTATGCAAATGAATCGTTCCTCAATTGCAGAAGATATAATTTATTACGTAATAAAAAGAAATTAATCTACACTCAACCGGGGCAATCCGCCGCGCCGCACAGTAGTTCCCAGATAGGTCATTACTTAGATATATTAATTTCAAAATGTTTGCATGAAACTGTTGCTAATACTTTTCTTATATTCTCCTGTAAACGATACATAATAAATAACAAAGTCAAGTAAGGCTAGTGTAGCGCTATTTTATATTAGAAATGTCACATTTTTGCTACTGGTATCAAGCAGACATAAACAGTTTTCAGATAAAGCTAATTAATTACTTACTTTATTAAAATTGATAAAAGCTGTTGCCTTTTCTGCAATGGACGTTCGAAAAGAAGGTAAAAAGAACTGTTTTTTCTTTTTTGCACTTAATTAAACCTAAGTAATATTAGTTTATGGCAATATATTTGAAGGCGACAAAAATTGTATTTTTACATTTTTGCTTGTCATTGTATTTATAAAATGAAACAACTGTCTCTTTTATTTTTTCAACGTTTAAAATAAATTTGACCTCTTCAATATGAAAAAACATGTACATTGTGCAAACATAATATATTCCGAATAGTTAGAACTTAAAATGCAAATCACACGAACTGGGCCCAATTTTTTTAAAACATATTAGATTAAGTTTTTTATATACATTTATTTAGCATTTGTTATCAATTTATATTAAAAAGGGTGCAGTCAAGCTATATCTAGATATCGAACAGTTATGACCACGCAGCTAATTAAAGGGAACCACTGTGCGCCGTAGTTTCGTGCCAATCTAAAACACCTTTTATAAATTTATTTTCAGGACGTTAGATGGCGCTCGGGAGCATTTATTTAACCTTTAAAGACACATGCGTGGTCTCACGGACCATTAAAAGTAAAAAGCAGGCGTAACTTATTTAATACCAGTTGCCATGCGCTGTGCGCCTCAGTATGCCTCCGGCGTTTGACAGGGATACATTGACCACGTGCGAGTAAAGTTATTATAGAAATTTCGGGAGGTACGTCATATTGCGGTCCAAGAAACCGCTGCATGTATTTTATCACCGTTTTGTCAGGTAAATTAAAATTTGACTATAATTATTTTTTTAACTTTGGGTAAATTTCTTGTAGTAATGGGCACTTACGAAAGAGAGGTTGAGAGACTTCAGCGTTTGTTCGAAGAAGTAGTATTCGATGATGAGTACGTCGCACTGTGATCAATTTTTAAAAATTAACAGGAAAATATTAAAATATCTGATGAAGCTAAGCGGCGTCAAAAACTCCATAAGTAGGCTTTGAAATAGTTGCTAAGAACATTTCATTAACAATTATGTCAAAGGTCGTTGCGAATTTACTGTTATTTTGATTGAAAATGTAGTATAGTTGACAAATTAAACTAAATAATCTTGTTATTTGCACATGAATAAAGTTTTTAATTTGCGGATTCCGTGCAAAAAGTTATATGTCATTAATACTATCTAAAACAGAAAGAGCAATTGTTGATGGTAAGTTTTTTGACATTAATGTTCTTCTGTTGAATATTAAATATGAGTAAATAATTTTGATATGGTTAGATTTTTTTTAGATTATTAGAATATACATTTTTTAATGATCTAGCAGAAAAAAGTCTTATGAGGTTTCAGTTTTAAATAAAGTTAAGTTGATAGTTAAACCATTAGACAACTTGACTAAACCTACAAATTTACCGTCCTAGTCCGTCTGTTAAGTCCAGGCCATTTTTTAGGACGTATTGCCCATATTAAACGCTTGGAGGTTGTTGACTTTTTAAAAGCAACTGTTAGCAAAATCTGTAGGATCCATAGTATTATTCTTATAAAATGATAATTTTTAAATATCTAACATATGCAAATGATCGCGACCAAAATCTATTTAAAATAAAAAATAACGAAACTTTTCCAAGTTTTTAATTATTATACACCCTGTATACGACCTGTTCTTATTAATTATATTATTAATGTAATTTTATGATACCTAACATATAAAATCGGATATAGTTATTAATCAAAGTTAAGTAATTTTCACTAATATTTTTTTCCGGCTAATTTGACAAAATTGACCACAGTGCGTCGATGAGAAAGTCGCTGCTGATGAGATAGACAATGTGTCTGTCCAAGCAGATTCTAGCGATACAGAGCAAGAAATTGACGACACAGGCTCGACGATTACACTACATCCAAACAAAGTACCTTATTTTTTGAGAAAGGATGCTACAAAATGGGCTAAGCATTACTAACTCCACAATACAATATAGTGAAAGTACTTCCAGGAGTAAATCACGCACTAGAACACCTTGTAACACCCTTGGATATTTTTGCATCATTGTTCACCGATGAAACTTTGAATGCTATAGTAGAAAGTACAAATATCAAGATAACATCAGTTCAGGATAGGTACAGTCAAGAGAGAGATTGTAGAAATACGACTCTGGTAGAAATAAAAGCATTATTGGGCTTGCTTTATCTTGCTGGAGTTCCAAAGATAAATAATCTCAATGTACATGATATGTGGTGAACTGATGGAACTGGAATTGGAGTATTTCGTTTGACCATGGGTCATAGATTTAAGTTTCTTCTTCAGTACTTGAGATTCGACAACATTCATACCCGAGAAGAGAGGAAACTTGTAGATAAGTTGGCCCCCATTCGTCAAATATTTGACGAGTTTATAATTTATTGTAAATCTGCATATAGACATTCAGAGTTCGTCACTGTTGACGAAAAACTAGAGGCGTTCAGGGCAATTGCAGTTTTCGGCAATATATGCCAAAAAAGCCAAACAAATATGGCATCAAAATTTTTGCAATTTGTGATGCAGAAATGTGGTATACTAGTGCAATGGAGGTGTATGTCGGGCAACAGCCAGAGGGTCCATTCAGGAAGGATAACTCTGCTCAAGCCATTGTTGAACGACTAACGAAGCATATAAGCGGATCTAAGCGGAAATAAGCGAAATGTAACTAATGATAACTGGTTTATCAGTGTTCCGTTAGGTAGAAGTCTGAAATCTAAAATTAACACTAATTGGAACTCTTAGGAAGAACATGCGAGAATTGTCAAATGAATTTAGAGCAGAAAAGGGAAGACTCGTTGGATCCAGTATGTTCGGTTTCGATTCTGATAGCACCATTGTGTCATACGTCCCCAAGAAAAAAAGAATGTACTATTGCTCTCAACGGCTCACCGCGATGATAAGGTTTCGATTAACGGACTTCCATAAATAATTGTCGATTATAATGAGACCAAATGTGGCGTCGACGTAGTAGACAAGCTTTGCAGGTTAAACCTATCCAAGGTAAAAATGAGATTTTGTGTCCCTTACATTTTATTAAAATCTCGTGTATGCTTTGATAATAGTGGACGTGTGGTGATTTACAACGAGACCGATCGCCGATGTACTCATTGTGGAAAAAAAGCCATTTATATGTGAAAAATGCAACGTTGGTCTACACCCAAAATTTTGTTTTAAGCTTTACCCTTCTCATTGAAATGTAGTTAATTTTTGCACTAATAAATAACCTAGTTTGTATTCGTATTTTTATTACTGAATAATCGGACTCGCTGGGATTACGTCTTCATTGTTTGCCATTTAATAATATGTGGAGACAAATAACAATCATCCATACATATTTATTTTTTGTCTTAACAGCGCCTGGGTTTATTGAACATATATATTTCCTTCTGTCTCTCCGCTTTGATTAAAGATGTGTTCTTCTAAAATGGTGGATTTCTACTCTGTGTTGCCATAGTGTTGGCTATACCGCCAGCCTGATGTACCACTGCAACAGTCGGTATTTTCTGATTAAATTCATCGTTTTTATTTTCATAATATTTACTATTTTTCCTAAATTTCGTTTCCTTCTTCTTTGTTTATGAAGATTTCTTTATTTCTCGCGTTATTTTCAGTAATTCCAATAAATTTTCTCTCTGAAGTCTTCATTTTCATGTAAACTTTGACAGGAGCAGACCGTTCAAACAGTACTTTAGTATTTAGTGCGTTACCCTTATTTTTTCCGAAATGAGTCTTTCTTTCAGCTAAACAAGGCAGGACCTCTCTCAGGATTTACAGAACTACTACAAATTTTATTCTCAAATATTGCGCTCTTATAAGTTTTAGGGTAAAATAAAAGTTAAAAACCGTATAAAATATAAAACTTTCATGATGCATTTGCTGATGTTTCAGCCTTCGTTTGCTATATTATCAAAAAGAAGACAAGTAATTAAATAAATTAAATTATTTTTTACAACCATAATTAACATTATTAGTATTTTAATAAAACACAACCGACTGTATCAAAATTTAATAAGAGTAACTTTAATCCACATTTGTTTCGACTTCTTCAGGCCTAAGAGATCGAAACATAATATGTAGAGTTAAAGTTACTCATTTTGATACATCTAAAAGCGTGTTTTATTAAAATGCTTATATTTCAACGATATTTCACAGGGAACCAACTACAACCTCAGTACTATTTA